CTGCACACAGTCATGTGACAAAAAAAACAATCTTCCACGTGAGAGGTGTCTTGGAGTGTAAAACTTGAATCCCTCCCATGGCCCTCTTTTTGTGACTTTTATTTTGGAAAGTGGTTTGATGAACTGAACCATTTCCTGCTCTGGAGCTTTTTTTTTTTTTTATTTATTTATTTTTTTATAGACATGGTGGTCCTTGTCGACTTTATCCATAAATCACCTGCCTTCCTTGTGTTACCTACAATGCACACCTGCTTAATGTGTCCTCTTGTTTCTTAGGTGAGAATTCCCAACACTTAATAAGCATGTGTATATGTGATTTATTTGCTTTCCTTGTGTGTGCGCGTGTGTGAATGTGAAAGTTTTTGAACACTGCACTAAAATTTGGCTCTCGTGTTGGCATACCTGTCATAGATGAGGTGAGGGGTGTGGTGTGGATTTGGACAGCGTGTACAGATTGTGTCTAAAATAAATTTTTATTATTTTTTTTTTTTTTTTTTGGGTAAAAATATACGCATTAATCACCTAGAAATAAAGAGCTACAATATGTGAATGGAAGTACAACTGGGATAACCGACAGTTGCTTTTCCAATGTTAAATGATAATAAATAAAAATGAACCTCATTTGGTGGAGTTTGGTTTGATGTGCATACAGGGGCCACATACAGTGAGAGCAGGGAGCAGGTAGAGGTATGCACTGCAGAGATCGGTGATAAAAGCGAGACAAGGTGAATGAGAGGGAAGGTGGACAGGTTTAAATACCTGGGGTTGACATCCAACGCAATGGACAGGGCGCAAGAAGGGAGTGCAGGCAGGGTGGAGTGGTTGGAGATGAGTGTCAGAGGGTTATTTGTGAAAGAGGTTTAGAGGAGCATAATGAGACCTGCTGTGATAACAAACAGGAGGCTGCGGTGCAGATGCTCAGTCTTTCTCTGGGAGTTAGGATTACAAATGAGTACATTAGATGGACAGCTCAGCTCGAGTGGGTTTGGACATGGTTTTGGTGCAGAGGAGGGATAGTGTTTTAAGGCGGGGGGGAAAGAAGATCACAGTGGTGATGGAGGCAGATGATCTGCTGTGGTGACTCCTGAACGGAGCAGTTGATTCCTAAAGTGTCTTGATTATCTGAACTCTTGGTATCACAAAGAAATGCCTCCAAGTACTAGAATAATTCATTAATTGAGTGGAGGGGATTCATCTGTGTAACTTTGTCATGCTCCGATCAAAAATATCTACAGTCACCAGTTCGCACCCGAGTTATACTTACAAATGTGCTGTCTTTCTGCTGCCTCAAAACCATACATCATTGCAGGTGTGAGCATCATAGTCCACAGAAACTCCTGCCTGACCTCATCTGTCAACCTGTCCATCACCATCGCAAACGAAAATGAACTCAAAGTCAATACGTGATGTAATCCACCTCCCCATCTTAAACCTGTGTCAATCCTACTGCACTCCTCACCGCAGTCTCACCACCCTCACTCCAGACTTCCTCATACAGTACCACAGTTCCTCTCTTGGCACCAGCCATACTGCTGCTCATCACTTCTCTTCATGACTGAGCATAACAACTCTTTCACAACTCTTTTAGATATTACAGCGCTGCACATCAGCCTGCTTCTTGACCATCAACACTTCATTTCTTCAAGCATGGTGTTAAATAATCTGGTCTTAAAGGCAACTGCTCTCTCTCCACTCTTCATAGCTGCCCTCACTTCCTCTGCACTTTACGATTCTCTAACTTTCCTCACTCAGCATACCCGGGACATCTTTCCCTTTTCTGAATTCACTTACGATTGAGATGAATAGTCACACAAATAGGGTGGCATTGGCAGCATTTGACAAATCAGAAAGGGAGGAGGGAGGTTCACGGATCATATGACTTTTCTTCCGCGGAAAACCATCACTGTGAGTGCCACCTACTCCAGACATGTCATCAAAGGGTAATAAAAAAATCTCTAAAGAGCATAAAAATATACCAGCAAAATCCAACACTGCTGTAAATGCAAATTCATCAGCTTAAATACAGTTTATGATTTCGTCACTGAGTGAGCTCCCAGTGCTGTTGATTATTTATAAGGTGACAGCAGCACATTAGATCTCTGATACTTTAAACTGGATCCATTTAAACATTAAAGCGTGCTGTGGACATCGCTGCAGTTTGTCGCAGATCAAAGTGCGATGAATGTGATTGGTTGAACGGGTTTCCTTTGTGTGTTTCCAGGAGTGTAAAACAAACCAATCAGCCGGTTAGAATGAAGCAGAACAACATTTATAATATTTTTTATGTCATTACGAACATTCCCGCGACAAAGAAACATTACACGACATTTATAAAATAAAATAAAAAGTACAGAAGTAGTACAGAAGAGTCAGGGCTAACCTGCAGTTACTTGGACAAACCAAAATCAGGTACGGGAGAGTCCGCTCGCTACTACTTCTTTCTCCATCTTTACCTCAACTTCCAGCACTTGTTTTCTCAGCTCCATTCTCTTCCGCGTCAAAATTTCTCGCCCGAACAGGGACTTGAACCCTGGACCCTCAGATTAAAAGTCTGATGCTCTACCGACTGAGCTATCCGGGCTCTGACGTGTGTTCAGCTAAAATGTAGACTTTACCAGGATGTAGTGTATTTAGCTATTTTTTTCATGTCCGCTGTATATGTTTCCATTCAGTCCAAAAGACCTCCTGGGGTAAAATATTCTTTTCATTATTATTATTATTATTATTATTATTGTTTTAATTTAGACCAAACTCTTCACAAATATGCATGTCTTGTAAATAACCCACTAAAATTAATACTAAAGATACAAAAACCAGCTTATGTTCTGTCATGCATATGATGTCTTAAAAGATGCATATAAAATGTAGCTAGTTTGCAATAATGACTGACGTCATTAGTGCTGCCTGAGAGGGGCAGCCAATCAGGAGCAAGTTGCTTTAAATGGAAGGAAAGAGATTATTTTGAACTGTGAATCAGCAAAGCTAGTCCACTTTAAGTAAAAATAAATACACTTAAGAGTATCAAACCCAAAATTTGACCAAAAACATACCAGCTGTATTATTTTACCCCAACTGTCTGAGGCAGAGCTATTACTATTTTATCACTCTGTTTCAAGGCAACAGACCCGGGTCTTAAATAGAGCCACTGGATAAATCAAAGGGAAAGGAAGAAAATAAGTAATCAGATCAGTATTTATTTTCAGTTACATTTTACATTTTATTGTGAAAAATTTCTTTATTAGTTATATGAATGAAAATAGAGAAGCTGAGAAGATTAAAGGGGAAGTCGCTCTTTAATGGAGCTGCTGTCTTCCATCACGTTGCTTTGGCACTGACTGAACCTATTAAGCCTATTAGCTCACTTTTAATCTCAATATTTATGCTCTTATTGTGAAAGTATGATGAATAATAAATGAAACATTATATGCATCATCACAGTCACCACCTTGAGAGCTAATGTTTTCTTACAGTCTATGCTTCATGTATCTCCAGCAGTCCTTTGCCCTTTGTTTTCTCTCCTCTGTAACAAGCAACAGATGTTCGGATGCTCTGCTGTGGCCTCCCTGTAACTCTACCCTTGGTGTTGTTTCTTGGGTCTCAGCAGTTGGATTCTTTCCATCTGCCTGTTCTTTCTCTTCTAGGACAGAAACTGCTCTCAGGTCTTTAAATCTTTTAGGCCACTGTGGTGTCAGAGTTCAACAGACCGGTCACAGACATCAGCAGAGAGTCTGGGCACTTGCAGATTATTGAGATTTGATCTATCTGACATTTTTGTAGTGCTAACAAGAAGAATTTTTATTTCTGAGTATAGATTAGAGACCATTTTGGTGAAGTAGTTCAACAGTGAAGCCCAGTGGTACCCAACAAAGGAGATAAATACAATCCTGAATGAAAAGTTTGATAGTTCAAGTCTGCATTTGTGCTGAAAGCGCCACATGTGGTGGTTTAGGTGCCCTTTGTTATGTGTCTGCTAGGCAAAGAAGTTTGGGTAGCACTGGCTAAACCATCTTTTTTAAACGTCGAGATAACATCCGAAACACCCAGAGGTCAGGTTCTGCACATGCGCACAACAAAGAGGAGAAAACCTTATTCTTATGGAAATGAGGAAAGTGTATTTCCATAAGAATACATTTTTTGCTTTGTGTGTGTGTGTTCCTTGTCTACTGCACGACTTAATGCTGGTATTGTCTGTTGCTCTAAATTGTGGACCTTTACCACTGCAGAAGATAAATCTCCCCATCATGTGTAAGTACAGCACTTAAATTTCTTCAGTCTGGGGGAAAATCTTAAATGGACCCTCTCTAATATATAAGTACTCCTTTCAGAATGAGTGTTTGTTGTCTCTCATATTATATATATATTTTTTCTTACTGTTGAACTTCGCAACACCAGGCAAGGATTTTTTTTTGAAATGTTTTAATCTTCTGGGAGCTTGCATGATTTGTAGCCTCAGTTTCCTGTTCTTAGTTGACAGGAGTGGCAGTCTGCTTCTAGGTTCGGTATGTTATGTATTCAGAGATGTTCTTCTGCATACGTTGGTTTTAACAAGTGGTTATTTAAGTTACCATTGCCTTCTTATCAGCAGCTCAAAGAGTGGCTGTTTTTCCTCAGCCAGGCATTTTCTCACACAGAACCAATACATATTTCCTCTTTCCCCAGAGATGGCTGTGTGGGACAAACCCAGTAGATGAACAGTTTATGAAATCCTGAGACCAGCCAGTCTGGCACCAACAACCACACCACAATCAAAATCTGTTAAACTACCTTTCCTGACAATGCCCACCATGTGGTTGGCTGATTAGATATTTGCGTTAGTGAGTTAGTATATATTTCATTCATGTATGTATTTTCTTGTGTTTTTCTTTCTTGCAACCTCTAAAATGCTACCTTGAGTTAGCAAGGGTGCAGTACCACTCTCCCTCCATTAGATGACGCCACAGTTTTGGACAGACTGCTCTATTTTTCCTTCTTCGGTGTTTGTTGTTCTCAAACACGGAACTTTCATAATAGTACATCTACAGCAAGCTGTGGACTAAGAAGTTAGGGAATGAGTTAAAGTGGTTATTTCTTATATATATAAAAAAGTTACCTCCAGCTTCAACATGGTTAATCTGGGGCTCACCAAAGTGGACGACGCGTTGGTGGCCAAACATCCGGTGGGTTTTGTGTTTGTTTTTATGCGTTTTTATTACCTGTGCACTCTGGAGGACACTGTCCCTCTGCACACTTGGAATAAACCAGCAGCTGCTCACATTGATACAACAGAAATGTGTAACACAGGTGAGAGCTGTTTTTATTTGTTGTCTCTCAGGGTTTGGAGAGCTACGCCGCCTGTCAGTCTCATGCTTTCATGAAGGGGTCTGGGACCTTTGTGCTGGGTAATACTTTTATTTATTATTTATTAAAAGTCACACACTTAAAATAAGAAATATTTCAGTCCATGTTACAATCTTTGACTTTCTCCTATTTGTACATTCTTAATGCTTTCATGCTTTCATCCAAATTCTTGTTGGCTGTGTTGCTCTAACTTTGACCCAGTCAGTGCTGCTGTTTTTATGTGTAATTCTGAACCTCAGTTGTTATAAATTGTTTTCTGCATTGTGTTGACATTTTTAATGAAAATCAAGACACTGAAGTAAGGTCAAAGTGAATGTAGGCAAACAATACAGATGTCAGGATTTGCAGACAGAATGTACCACAAGAGGGAGCTGTATCACCCACAATGATCACACTGATCTCAGCACAGGGAGAAAATGATTATATTATTAAAGTTAAAATAACTATTGTTGTTATTATATCTATTTATGTTTTTGATGTTGCTTTTTAGCATCCTGGACTGTTTTTGTTTTTATGCCAGCAGTTCATACTGTAAATGATTTAATGAAGAAATGATAACAGAAATGTACTGAAGGATACCCAAACATAGCTCTGACAATATACTCACCGGTCACTTTGTAATGTACATTGATTTAACTGTTTCTTAATGCAAATATCTAATCAGCCAATCACATGGCAGCAACTCAGTGCATTTAGGCATGTAGACATGGTCAGGACGACCTGCTGGAGTTCAAACTGAGCATCAGTGTGGGGAAGAAAGGTGAAGCTGCTGTCCTAGTAAAAAAAAATTGTAACAACCATCTCTATGATTGATAGAGGATAGTGTGAAAAAGACAAAATATCCCGTGATCAGCACTTTTCTGGTTGAAAATACCTTGTTGATGTCAGAGGTTGGAGGAGAATGGCCAGCCTGCTTTGAGTTGATAGGAAGTCTAGAGTAACTCACTGCTTCAGTAACTGACCATGTCCGTTCCTCTGTGACCACAGTGTAACCATCTTCTAATGGCTGTCACAAAGGTCAGGTCATCTTGAACTGGTTTCAAACACAAGGACATAGGACAAAGAAATAAGCCATTTTTGAAGGCCTTGTACTAATAAAGTGTCCAGTGAGAGGATTTATGCCTTTTTTGTCCAAGGGAAACTAGTACACCTACCACCCTCCAAACAAAAGCTTGACTGTTTGGCATTTTCAGTTTTATTCAGAGCCAACAAGAGACAAGAAAGTGAAAGAAAGTGTGGGAATGACAGTGAATGTCCAGTCAGCTGGGAATCAAATCCAGTGCCCACTGCTGATGGCATTTACCCGTCTGTGTCCTACCCACTCAGCTGTCAGGTCATCTGTCATTTTAGGTTTAACCTAGAAATTAGTTTAATTGAAAAAAACAAAACAAAAAAACCAACCAGCAGCAATAAGAAAATCTGCACAGTTACAAGTGTAAATGTTTCTCCCTGGTTTTAGATGTGTGACAGTGAGTTGTGTTGTTGGTGCAGGTGTTGCAGGTTTTTTTGCTATTCAGAAGGCCCTACAGAGGAAGCTTCCTTATCCCCTTCAGTGGAACCTGCTCATTTCAATAGGTGAGGAGTAAAATATTTGGATTGTGCTATTAAAAATACATAAAGAAATGTATTTAGCTCTCAAATGTAGATCTTACATCAGTGCTGCCACTGAAACCACTGTCTCTCCCCTGTGTGCTCTCAGTGGCATCATCAGTGGGCAGTTACGCAGTGACTCGCTGGGAAACGCAGAAATGCTCAGACCTCTGGTTGCTCCTAGAAACAGGCAAAGTCCCAGACAGGTCACCACCTCCAGGTGAGCACAGTGCAGAACTGTATGAAATGTGAATTTAATGTTGTGTTAACTGTTGTCTTGGATATAAGATTGAAGAGTCAACCTATTGAGGTATATAGATTTATGATCAGAAAAGTTATCGGCGCGTATCATTTCATCACTTATGATTCACCAAATGAAGACCGTATGCTTCATCTCTACCTTTCTCTTTACTGTCTTTCAGTACCCCAACAAGAGGAACCAACAGCACCACAGAAGACAAAATATGGTGACGTGATGGAATGAAGAAGTTTCAAACAAATTTTATTATCTACAATATAAAGATTATAAATATGCAAAGAGAAAGAGCTCAGTGGTGCTCTGCACATTTTGCATGGCCCACATGATTGTGTATTATATTTATTCTGGTTGTGGAGCTCTTAAATTTCATAACAGTATCAATGTGTGGATTAAAAAAAAAAACAAACCCTGGGTTTTCCTGACTCAGAGGTCAGGAATTAGTTGTGGGTTTTTAGTAGGAATTAGATGTAATGCTTGTAATCCGGTGTTGTTGTTATTAACAGGGTTCGTACGGGTGCTTGAAACCTTGAAAATGCTTGAATTTTAATGTTGTCTTCTCAAGGTTTGAAAAGTGCTTGAATTTCAGATGTGGTGCTTAAAAGTGCTTGAAAGTGTAACTGTATTTCATTCACCACACATAACTATCTGATTGAATAGTTTTCTTATCAGATAGAGAAATAAAATGAGTCGCAAAATTTCGCCGTCTGGGCTGCCTTGTGTCTGTTTCAACGTGTGACCCCGCCCCTCCGTCGGACAGTCGGGGATGAGTGCGCTAACATACCTGTAGGTTGCTGTTTTAATGAGTGTTTGATGGAACAAATGGCGGAGTTTGCGCTCTCCGGTCGCATGATGAGTCCTAGTAAATAATATTCCAGTGCGTGTACGTTACACACGCTATTTTTTATTTTTTTTTAAATTATGATTATTATTTTGCCAGCTGTCAAACTCGCTGGAGAAATGATTGAAATACACTGAGTGTGATGCAGTATGGCAGCGCTATTATGGAATATGCTGTGAACTTGGCTAACATTACTTAGCAGTAATATGAGTTCATTTACTCAAGTGAAAGCTTTAAACATTAGCCCGATACATAACTAGCCAACTTAAGGCTTTCTGATTAACCCTCTGGGGTCGACGGACCCAGAGTCTCCATTTCAACTTGGGTCGAACGTGCGGACTTCAAACTATGTACCAGGTTTTAAATTGTGTTGATAGGCCACGTAAAGCCGATGTTTGTTTGTTTTTCTCTCTCTTCTGAATAGAACTGGCGTTTACTCCGGGAAGAAACGGTAAAAACAGCCTTTTCCAAGGAGAGCGCTAGCAAACACGCTTTGATTGTGAGTGAAAAAAGAAAAAGAAAAAACACTCCTTCCCTATTGGTGGAAAAATGTACCGTGTGGACCAATCAAAAAATCACATGGCAACATGTGGTATCTGGTTGTTTGGGAAGAGGGGGAAGTTTTAGGAGTGAGCGAAAGAGAGACAGAGAGTTTTGATACGTGAGAGATTTGTGACGTTTACGGTGTTTGGAGTCTCAAGTTAGTTTGTTGTCTTGTGTAGTTAGTGTGCGGTGTAGTCGTTGTTTTGTTTTGTGTGTCAGTTCTACTAGTGAACATCACAGTTGCTGCCTTAAAGCCACCAAAGGCAGATTGTAGTGTAAACACTGAGTGACACACCTGGGGCCCGTTCTTCGTACCTCGCTAAGTAGGTTAGCCGGATTAGATTGTTGACGATTTCGCGTGATCCTGGATCAGTCGGTTCCCCGAAGCTCATCCGGGACTTGCTGTCATAGCAACAGAGCCGTAAGCGTAAACCTGCTCGGGAGCAGGTTTACTTTATGTAAACAGGATTAGATCGCGGCCACGCAGGTATGTCCGCTTCATTTATACGAAAACAACAGCGATATTTTACCACTGTTTCACCATAAATACATATTATCAATGTAACTAAAGACAATGCAGCACTTGATCCTTTTATTGATGTCACACAGATACATACAGGTCATTTCCTAAAAAAGGGAAATGAACTATTAACATTCTATTACATGTATGTGATTATTACAGATGTAATTCATATTTCAGAGTAGTAATTGTAAATTACTTCGTGTAATCAAGATGAGAGACCACGGCTATAAAAGCGAAGGTGGATTTGGGAAGCCTGTCGCAGCCATGTCCTGTCCGTATACGCGACCAACCCATTGCGGAAGGTGCAAGATTGATAAGGAGAGTCCTCAGAATTCAGCGTATATTGCGGGATAGACAGGATCCTTTAGCTCAGCGCGACAGTGTGCTCATAGAGAGATATCGATATTCCCGTGAGGGTATTATTTACTTAACCAACTTGTTGACGAGGGGGTGCAGGACCACCACCTGTCTTTTTTTCCTCTGCCCTTTTCTTGGTTGCTGTTATGAACAAACTAACAGAGTATTACAGGCCAGTATTACCTTGCCAAGAGACGCAAAGCAATCTAAGAGATAAATATTACCATTCTGTAGAATACTCCTGTATTCCACTTTTACTTGTTCCCATGTTCTTGTGGGTCCTGTTGTGGCTCTAATGTGAAAGGGGATATAATATAACATATTATAATATAATATAATGCCATATGATATTGGACAATATAGTGTCATATGATAGATCTACCCTACCGCCTACTGGTGTTGGCCAGAGGGGCCGATGGCGCGATATGGCAGCCTGGCTACAACCGTAGCTGCCTCCACCAGTGTGTGAATGTGGGAGTGAATGAATAGTGGTATCGTAAAGCGCTTTGGGTGCCTTGGAAAGCGCTATATAAATCCAATCCATTATTATTATTATTATTATTAAATTACCTACGAGTTTGATTTGTCAGCAACTTTCTGCCAGCCCTCTCTCCTTGCTTTTGCAGCCTTTGCAGTGTTCTCTTGCGTTTTAATTAAACTCTGAAACTCCTGAAATCCCTCACTCATGAGTTCTTGCTCTGCTGCCGGAAAATACCGAGCACGCCCCTTCGACATTTTCGCCGACCAATCAGCGGGTTGCCGATCAATGTTTCTACTATCGATGCGTAGCCCCTTTTACGACACCCAGTGATGTCACATTCCTGCGTCCAGCTGTAGTAATCGTCAACAGCAGGTGTGTTCGGGGAACCGGATTAGCGAGCTCACGGTTAGCGCGATGATTTGATCTTGGATGTGTCATTTGATCTTGGATGTAGTAAGCGACGTACGAAGAACGGGCCCCAGGGCCCTGTTTCAGGAAGCCGGTTTAGTGGAAAAACTGAGTAAGTATACCCTGAGTTAACGAAAACTCTGGGTTTTCGGTTTCACAAAGCGAGTTCAGCTGCAGCCTGAGTGAGTCACTATGACGACACACGCCGTGAAGCTAACCTGCCCCCTAGCAGGTTTACTACAACTAACCCTGACTGTCTCCGCCCCTTTGTCGGAAACCTGACAGTAGGAAGTGTCGGACATGGCGTGCCACTTCCTTGAAGAGCCAGTAGATCGTGAAGCCCAAATTCTTCGCAGAGCTCTCCGCCGGGAGAGAGTGATCAGAGCGCGTTCGGACATTTTATCATTTCCTGATGATTTTCTGTGCGAACGTTACCGTTTCTCAGCACAATCTATAAGTTATTTGGATAACATCCTCAGGCCATATATTACGCATGTGACACATCGCGGACATTCTCTCAGTTCATTGCATATTATTTGTATTGCACTTCGGTTTTTTGCAAACGGGAGCTTTCTGTATAATATTGGTGACGCTGAGCACGTTTCCAAGGCTACCGTCTGTCGGGCAGTCAGGAATGTTACAGTTGCACTGAAACGTCTCCTGTACCCGTCTGTGGTGTTCCCCGGTCACAGACCCACAAGATTCATCAAAGAGGGATGCCACAAAATTGCAGGTATCAGGATGAACGAAACTTAATTCATGATGTGGTGATATTTGAACTACTACTTAAATTTTACATTTATTCTCACGGTTCCCAGGCGTGATTGGCTGTACAGATGGCACTCACATTCCAATCATTGCTCCTTCAGTAAATGAAGGAGACTATGTGAACAGGAAGTCTTTCCACAGCATTAATGTACAGGTACATAGTTCCCTGTAGCATTTCAAACTAACAAATTATTTCATTATAGTAATGGATGCTAATTTGTGTTCTCTGCACTGTGAAGATCATATGTGATGCTGCCAACATTATCACAAATGTGGAAGCCAAGTGGCCAGGCTCTGTCCATGACTCACAAATATTCCGTGAATGTACACTGAGCACAAAATTTGGACATGGTGAGTTGAGAATACTTTAAAATATATAAAGACCAATTGCTTCAGGGACATTTGAACTGAAGTGTATCCTTCTGTCTTAGGAGAGTTCACTGGCTACTTGCTTGGTGATAGGGGGTATCCATGTTTACCCTATTTGCTTACCCCTTACCCTGACCCTGAACCGGGCCCACAGCAGCGATATAATCTGGCTAATTGCAGGACAAGAGCCAGAATTGAAATGACTATCGGAATGCTTAAGGCCCGGTTCCAGTGCCTGCAAAGACTCAGGGTCACCCCAGAAAGGGCATGTGACATTATTGTGGCATGTGTGATTCTTCACAACATTGCCACAATTAGAGGAGAACACTGTCCTTCTGAACCAAACATCAGCAGTGATCCAAACCATGAACATCCTGACCCTCCCACGGACATACAAGATGGAAGCGCAGTCAGAGACACCATATGTCACAATCATTTCTTTTGACCCATCACCTCAACATGTTGAAAGAAGAATAAAGAGATTTTTTGTTCAACTGGCTTTATTGGTCACCTGTATTTCCTGTACACAAAGTATTAAAAGATGTAAACCTCATAAAGTGTCTCTGTTGCTTCCTCCTCTGTAACAGCTGTCAATGTTTCTTCATTATTTTCCTGTAGTAAAGAAATAGACAACATTGCTGTTCTACTGTAAACTCATATAATCTGTGGAGTATTACTCACAACTGCATGTTGGTCTGGCTCAACAGGAGGCTGCACCAGATGCAGTACACCACCACCATCAACTGATAGAATATGAGGTTTATACAGGTCACTTATAACTTACAAGGACCAAATGGCAATTAACAAACATACCAATCACCTTACACTTCATTGTCATTATGCTCTCAAAGACAACCAAGGCTGAGGGAAGGCAAAATCAGTAGGAAAATAACTTCACTACAAAATAATCCATTATGGTAAAGAGTTTATCAAATGAATGAGCAGCACTGCAAAGGTGACTGTGAAGAAAGGATGTATGCACATCATGTATTATTTTGAATTTACCCCTTATGTAGGCACTTGTGTCTTGCGGGTTATTGCCTCAGAGGATGTCCCCGCAGAGATGCCTTCGGCCACAGGGCGCCCACTGTTTTGGCTGAGGGCCAACTGCTCAGCCTCTGTGAGTGGTGGTGGTGGAGGACCCCCACCTGTTTTTCGGGCCTCCGCTTTTTTTCTGTTGGCTATAACGGGCCACATTTGAGCATACAGGGTAAGCAAATATGTACTTGTAATGTGCTCAGATAATTTCAATAAGTGCTTACAGACAGAAAATTAATGTAGCCTCTAACTGCAATTGATTTACATCGGACACACAGACCAAGCACTATGGCTCATAATACAATT